GACGATATTGTAAACTAACCTTAAACACAATGACGACTAAAGCCTGTTTTGCTCTTTTGACACCAGAAGACTTTATTGTTGTGAATGGTAAAAAATACTCCTTTGAAGATACTTACTCAGATATACCACCAACAGGTTTTGTTGACTTATTTAATACTTTAAGTACGGGTGTAACATGTGCTGCAACTAGAGCAGGTTTCATTATGTTTGGATGTCCGACTGAGTTTACTATAAACGATATGAGCTATAATACAAAACTTATTTCTGGTTTTTACTACCAACAGTTTCCTATAACAGGAAAAGGTGTCATACAAGGAATGTCTATTCCATTGACATTAAGCACACCAATCTTATATATTGTTTCAAACTTAGGTTCAAAGTGTTATTCGAATGTCGACAGAAACTATTATGACCAAAAGATACTTATGCGTATAAACAATACTTTCTCTGCTGGTTTGCCTATTGTTCATTCGAATGCAGAATTTTCAACCTTAGTGAACTCAAACACTTTGGCAAGTATAACGTTGACATTAGTTGACGCAAACTTTGTTCCTGTAAAACTTTTATGTCCTATGTATTTGTCAATGACGGCAGAAAGTTTCGAATTGGAAGATGCAACTGGTGAAAGTATTGTATTACAAGAACAACTTCAACAACAAATAGCTCAAGAACAACAAATGCAACAAATGGAACAAATGCAACAACAAAGTCAAGAATAAAAAAATATTATTTTTTAATTTTTATAAAAATGTACAGAATAGATGTTTCAGATTTTTATGACTTCCAAGCATTCAGAAATATGTGTCCATTTAGAGACTATAACAAAGCAGTCGAGAATTTGAAACGTTTAGTCATTTATGTCGACTCTGCCCCAGAATGTTATGTTATGAAAGAATGGGATGTTGTCTTTAACAAACCAAGAGCAACAATAGTGTCTGAACAAGAATGTAGACAGAAACTTAAGAAAATAAAAGTCGTACAAGTTGGCATGAAGATGTTAGATGCTTGGGATATCTTATTGTCAAAACTTGAAGATTTTTCAGTTCGTGGTATAAAGTTTTATACACCTTCTCCAAACTTCTATTCTATCTTCACTGGATATAAATATGAACAAGTAGAATGGAAAGAAAATATTATAGAAGCTTGGTTAGACCATGTCAAAGAAATTATATGCAATGGAAACGAAAGAGTCTATGAGTATATCTTATGTTGGTTTGCAAACATCTTACAACATCCAAGTGCTAAGAATGAAACTGCTCTCATTATAATTGGAAAACAAGGAACAGGTAAGAACACATTCTTTACAGATATCTTATGCAAACTATTAGAAGGTTATTCGAACCCTAATATGACAAACTTAGAAAACATCTGTGGCAAGTTTAACTCTTCTATTGAGAATATGAAACTTATAGTTTGCAATGAACTTCAAAGTATAGATACAACAAAAGTTTTGAACTCAGATGCTTTGAAGAGTCTTATAACAGACAAAGTTGGAGTTGTTGAAAGAAAGTATAAAGACCAAAGAGTTTGTGAGAATGTTGCAAACTTCATTATGGTTTCAAACAATGCTGTTCCGATGAAGTTAGAAAGTTCTGACAGAAGATATGTAGTTGTCAGAACGTCAGATTCTCATATGCAAGATACTGAATATTTTGACGCTTTGTCAGAATGTTTGACATCTGACTTTTACAACCACTTGTTCTCATATTTCATGACATTAGATATTTCTAAGTTCAATCCAAGACAAATTCCACATACCGAAGAGAGACAAACATTGTTAGAAGCAAACAAGAGTGTATATGAACTGTTCATAGAAGAAAGCGACTTTGAGTGTTTAGATGAAAAGTCTTTATATGATGAATATAAACAATATTGTCAAGAATATGGTTATATGGCAGCTTCTAAACGTACATTCTTGGCAAATGTCAAAAGTCTTTTAGACGTACAGAATGGTGTATATACAAAGAAAATTTTTTCTGAGTAAATTTTTAAAAAAAATATTTTTTTATCCGATAGAAAAGATGACGAAATATATTTCAGTAAACAAGTACATGTCAGGACTTAAAGAAGAACTAGACCCATTCACATATTTGAATGTTTACTTCTACCATTTTGAAAAGTCTTCATTCAGCAAAGTTTGGAACATCGAACCAGTTAAGTTTGCTATTGTGACTAAAAATGGTGCGAAATTTGAAGACTTAGACATAGAAGGTTTGTTAACAGTCAAAGAAAGTTTTGACAGAAGGTTCTCAAACCTTAAAGAAGGCAAAGCATACAAACTTGTTATACCTTATGAACCAAAGAAGACAGACGACTATGAATATTATGAGTCTAAAGTTGTAGAAGTTCAAGGTAAATTGGGTAAAAAGATTTTAGAGTCTAAGCCAGTGTTTACTCCTAAAGAGGAAGAGAACATTGACATTGACCCAGAAATGTTCTAAAAATAAAATTTTATTTTTACATGTCAAATTTCTTTTTCTCTGGAACTGGTTCAGGTTCTTTTTTCTCTTTCTTCTACTTCTTTTTCTTTCTTCTTTTCTCTCTTCTTCTTCTTCTGGTGGAGTTATGTCAAATTTCTCAGAACCATATTTATGTAAAAGTTCTTTGTCCTTTAATAGCTCTTCTATTCTGTTTTCTATTTCATCTTCAAGAACAGCGCATGTGTCTTCTTTGCATTCTAAGAAGTTTTGTTGGACTTCATCTCTCCAAGAGGCGTCATCTCTGTCAACAAGTCTGTCATTGACAAATTTTAAGACTGCTCTGCTTAATGTTTTATGGTTCTTGTCATATTCCCAGAAACAGAACTTTAGAACAAATTCCCCTTTCTTGTTTACACTATGTAAGATTTTATGGTCGACAGATGTTTTGCTGTCGAAAAGCTTGTCTCGAATATAGATAGCGAAATCGCTAGACATTTTCTAAAAGATAAAAATTTTAATTTTTCTAAAAATATGTTAGAAAAAAAAGTTTGCTGACATTGACAAGAAATTTGAGAATGTTTTAAATAAGAACAAGGTGAAGTTAGAAAATGCTCAGATAAAGCCTATACATGACAAGTTCTTATTTGCTCAGAATGGTATAACAGGTCTAATTGCACCACCTGGGTCGGGTAAGACTTTCACTTATCTTAAAATGGCTGCACAACAACAAGAACTAGATGAGAAGAACCCATTCTATGAGTTAGTTGTTATTTGTTCGACTTCTGGTCAATTTGACCAAACCGTCAATTCGTTCAAAGATATTATAAAGAAGTCTAAGTTAGTATGTATAAAGGATACTGAGTTGTTAGATTGGATAAAGAAGTACCAAAGAAGAGTTTTGAAGTATAATGCTATAAATGAGTATATAAATTCGAAGTTTAAAGACCCAAATGAGGAAATGCAGAGAATATTAGAGAAGAAACACTTCAGAAACAAACAGAAAGAGATAGAATACATTTCGAAGAAATTGCAATCTTACGATTGGAAGACATACCCTCATAGGTGTCTTCTTATCTTAGATGATTTCGCCTCTCATCCTTTGTTAAAGAACAGAGAACAAGATATGTGTCGAATTCTTAAGAAGCTCAGACACTTTAACATCTCAGTTGTCATTTGTGTACAGACAGCAAAGAGTTTAAGTAAGGATGTTAAAAGAATACTTACTGACATAATACTTTTCCCCGGATTGTCCGAAGACGATTTCATGGAACTTATGAAAGAGTCCATGGCAGGTAAGTTTGACAGACATGAACTATGGGAGAAGTACAAAGTCATACAAGACCCTCATACTTCTTTCAGAATTCATATCTACGCAAACAAAGTTCAAATTGTAAAAAGTCAATAAAAATAAAGAGTGCATCTACCCTACTTGTTTGAAGTTGTCAAAATACTCTGTTATTTTTTCTTTCAGTAATGTTAAGTCTTCTTTGAATGTAAGTATTGTACAACCTTTAATATCATAGTGTGTTTGAGGTAACGTATCTTGAACTATTTGTTTCACATCTTCATTTGGGGTCATTGAAATCGGTAAGTTTTCGCGATAGAACCAATTTCTGTCAGATTTGTAAATCTTAGCAAGGTCGTAAAAGCTTTTGTTGTTTCTTCTGACTAAATGCAACATAACCATATCTCTGTCTTCTTCTTTCTCCAACTCTTCAGTATAAATCATATACTTATAACTCTTTTCCTTACCTTTTGGTACCGAACGTGGTATTCTTTTCTGAATGACTTCATCTTTTGCTTGAAGTTTCTTTTCCATCTCTTTTCTCATTTCTGTATGTAAATCGTCAAGAAGTTTGTAAATATTCCAAGCATAACGTGGTGAAGCCCACATTGCAACTGCATTTACTAATAGTCTATGTACATACCAACCTCTCAAACCATTTGGCAAATTTTTATGATTTTCATGAGTTTTAGGCGACCCCGAAAAAGTCGGTCTCGCTGTGCTTCGCTCAAAAGTTCTTGTGTGCTTTGGTTTTTGAACCAATCGTCTGTATGTTTGGTATCTGGAGAAAAACAAGCCGTCAAAATACTTTGCATTTGGTACATATCGTCTTTGACCGAACGAATTAGACGCAATTGTTTGTTATACTGTATGTACTCGTATTCTTCATTTATAGCTTCATGGACTATAACTGTTGTTGTGTTCTCTGTTGTTGACATTACTGTCTTTACATACAAAATAAAAAAATAAATAAAAATAAAACTAACTTTATTTTTTCTATCTTAAGGAAATTCATGATTTTTGTGCTGAATTCAATAAAAATAATGTTTAGGTGAAGAGGTGAGATTTCACCTCTTTTTTTCACCTCATTTTTCACCTCATTTCTACCCCAGTTATTTTATAAACGTTTTACATGGTAAACGTTATTTTTTAAATTTTGTGAAAACTCAACGGTTTGACACATGCCCTAAAAATTATTTTACTCAGAATTTTGTTGCTGAATTCAATAAAAATATATTTTAGGTGAAGAGGTGAGATTTCACCTCTTTTTTCACCTAATTTTTCACCTCTTTTTTTCACAAGCGTTTTACATGAATTGTACGATGTATATTTGAAATCCTAAACAATTTCGTAGCTTCTATTTCTTCGCTGAGGATATCAAAAGTTTTAACAATGCCGAAGGTTTCTTTATACTTCTTCTTGACGTCAGATAGAAGGAAATCGTCAGCAGTTGGATAGTTTTTGTTCAGAAATGACAGCATGTCCATTTTATTTTCTACCGGCTTCTCTGCTTCTTTCTTTAAGTCAGCATAGTCGTTTCGCATACGTTCTATCTCTTTGACGGAGTAGTTATATTTCCTCATTGCTGCTTTACATTTAGAACATTGCGGATTCATTTTTGCGTTATATTCTGAAACCTTACCTGCTAAAACAACCAAGGCGTCAATGGTTTTCTTTAAATCTGAAGCAGTTGGTTTTATCTGTTCATTCCATACCTTACCTCTTCTATCTTTATCTCTTATCTGCCATACACATTTTGCAGCTAATGAAACAAAGTTGTCGTATGTCTTAAACCCCCCGATTTATATATGTCAGAGATGTTCTTATATACCATGTCGCAATCTTTGTCCATAACTTTATGGTTGCAATGATATCCTAGAAACTCATAATTTACCTTTCGTATGAACTTCTTTATTTCTACTGAGTCAGTTGGTTTCACTTCTATTTCATCGAATTCAGGAATAGTGAGCTTTTGTTGTTGGATTTCAGGTAGTTTAGGCAAATGGTCGATGAGGTCCTCCATTTCATAAAGATACTGTTCATTTTCTTCATCCTGTGCGGTACAGTCTAAATTACTTGTTAAAAGTTCTTGCTTTATTCTTTGTATTTCTGTTTCGAAAGTAGATGAAGAAGGAATGAAGCTTTTCATCTCTACTAACATAGATGTTGGATTCATGACTAACGAGTTTGGTGCTGTTGTTTGAATTGTTGTTGTGCCGATTGTTGACATTTCTGTTCTTTTATACAAAATAAAAAAATAAATAAAAATAAAACTAACTTTATTTTTTCTATCTTAAGGAAATTCATGAAAATTCAAGAGGGTAGAAATCGGGTTAGAAATCGGGTTAGAAATCGGGTTAGATCTAACCATCTACCCTAAACATTATTTTTGCTGAATTCAGCAACAAAATGAACGAGGTCAGGATGTATGTAAATACCTTTGAATTCATTTATAACGCCCTTAGTAAGCTCATAAAATGCTTGTTTTGAGGTCGAGCCACTTTTGGCTCCACCGTATTCTTTCAACCAAAACTCAAGAATTTCCTGCATGAATTTTGTATAAAAAGCAACAGTCCGAATTCCGGCGGTTGCTATATTCTTCACAAAATGCCTTATAATACTCTTCCCAGGACTTATTTTCCAACAACTTTCTAAAGTCTTTCCTAAACTGACTGACTGACTGACGGCACAAAGTGGCTTAACGAAAACATTAATATATAAAATTCATGAAAATTCAAGAGGGTGAAAAAACAGGTGAAAAAAGAGGTGAAATCTGACCTCTTCACCTAAATTATATTTTTTGGTCCGGGAACAACTTTCTCTCAATTGGAGCTGTAGCATACTCTTTGCGTAAGCGGTTCAGACCTTCTTCGAAGTCTTGGTCTCTCTTCGATTGAGATTGGAATTGGAATTGCTGGGGTGGAGCTTGCTGGAACAACCAAGGGTTGGGGAAGTAAGGCATAGGCTGAGGAGGGTAGTTCGGGAAGCCTTGTGGTGGGTAGTAACCTTGAGGTGGAAATTGGTAGTAATTCGGAGGTACTTGCTGGAACTGAGGTGCAGGGGCTGGTGCTTTAGGTTCCTCTGGTTTGGGAATGAACTCGGTTGGTGGGACGTCGGACATTGTCTTGAAACAGTACAAATATTGTTCTGAAGCAATGCAGGTCTTGTTCTGAAGCAGTGCAAGTCTTGTTCTGAAACAGTACAAATATTGTTCTGAAGCAGTGCAAGTCTTGTTCTGAAGCAGTGCAAGTCTTGTTCTGAAAAAGTGCAAGTATTGTTCTGAAAAAGTACAAGTATTGTTCTGAAACAGAAAATTTTTCTCACAAATTGAGAGCTTTTACGGGAAATTTGTTCTGAAAAAGTTCAAGTCTTGTTCTGAAAAAGTTCAAGTCTTGTTCTGAAACAGTACAAGTATTGTTCTGAAAAAGTACAAGACTAGTTCTGAAACAGTACAAGTATTGTTCTGAAAAAGTACAAGACTAGTTCTGAAACAGTACAAGTATTGTTCTGAAAAAGTACAAGACTAGTTCTGAAACAGAACAATGGACAACATCGAGCCATTAGATGAGGCAATTTACCTTATAGAGATAAATGAAGTTGTTAAGCAGTACTTGGGCAAGGACAAAGCCAACAAGTCCCTCGGCTTCTGGTTGTCTGGAAGAGGTGCGCTGAAAATCGAAATTGAAACCGGAATTCCAATTCAAATACCAGAAAACACTCCTGTAGACGACATAAAGGAGATGAAGAAAGAAGCTCTTCTCAAGTTCTTTGCAAAGCGCCCATGGATACAACTTCCAAACAGAGAGAGTCCAATTCCACGAATTATACAAATTCTCAGAGCACTGTTCCACTTCTCGGGTCAGCCGTTCTACATAACCTCAGAAGGCGACATCCAACCAGTTCAGTAAACCTTAACGTTTAACTTCACTTTTTTATGTTTTTTGTGAAAGTGTCAAAAATAAATTGTTTTCATGAGTTTTCTACGATGTTAGAAAAAATGTTATTTTCTAATATCTTCACATTCAATACTTTTTCAGCACTTTTCCGTAGTTATATATGAAAGACAATTCGAGATAAAAGTCATAGTACAATGGAATAATATGCTGCACACCATTTGTTGTGAACCAAACTTGAAAGTCAGAGAAACTGTTACTAGGTGGTTCGTAGAATTTAGAAGCAAAGTCATAAAGGTCCTTACCAATACATAGAAAACTATTGTTGCTTGAACTGAAACTTGCATGACACATAACATTTTGAGGGTCAAACACGTTTCTATAAACCATCAAATCTGCTGGTGGAAGTATAAATTTAAATGGACCATCTGGTGGTAATGGTTCGTTCTGGTTTAGTAACCGAAGAAATTGTGCCCAAGAACGTTTGTCTACTTCCCAAAATAAAAACTCTGTATCTCTTGGAGGGTTAATTTCAATCTTTTGAAATGAAACGGTGGAGTTCATCTTGTCATATTCTAGTTTCAGATAGTATGTTCCATTTAGTAAAGAGTCGTATTTTTCTTGAAATTCCCAATAATATTTGTTCATTTGAGTTTGAAAGTCATCTAGAGTTTTCTCAAGACTTTCGTCTGAACGAACTGTAAAGATTCTCATTTCGGCAAATTTGTCTATTAGACCATCAGAACCTTTATACTGCCATGAAAATATACTGCGAACATAAATGCGTTAGTTCTATTTGAAAACAAAACTCTTCTAAATCCTATTGCCTTTGCATCTGAAGGACTTTGAAGCCAACGAATTGGATAGTCAAACCTGTATGCTCGGGATGAAATTTCTTCATCTGAAATAGTCCTACCAGCATTTGTAAAGATATAGTCTAACGGTTTTGTATCTGCTACTTTTGTTCTTTGTTTTTCAACCTGAAGCATTTAATATATGTAAAAATATATTGTTTTAAAATGGTATGCCATTTCATATTTCTCATCTAACAAACAAGTTTCCCAACGGTCTTCTCCAACAAACTCAGCGTACATTTCAAATAAAATAAAAAAAATGTCACTTTTTTTAAAATAAATTTTTTATTTCATGCAATGTTTTATTTCTGTGCCGTCTTCAAGTATGCCCCAGGACTTACGCTTGGAGAGGACATGAACTTCGGAAAATACCTTATCTAGCTTAAAACAGCCCATCTTTTCACCGACCATTCCCATTTCAATGAGTTTGTTGTATCCTTCTTCGTTCGTCATGAGTGCGTCAATGTTCTCATAGTAAACCTTCACTTTCGATTTGACTTCGGAGAAGAATTTGTTGTAGTTGTCAAGGACTGCCTTTGCGAACTGAGGGTAAGACCAATGTTCGACAATAGGTTTTAATGTGGTTACTAAGCCACTTTGACCTTGAGTGAATTCGTACTTCAAAACAAAAGGAGAAAACCTTTCAACAAAGTTGTCGACCTTCTCATAATGTTTACTCTTCATCTCTTGAGGTTTCTTAATGGAATATCCCCATGTCGAATTCATAAGCAATTTGAGTGTCATTGCAAGTTTGGGGTTTGAAGCTTTCCTAATATCATACAGTTGTTGTATGACTTTTCCAACTGTATAGTTCCTTCCCGGGAACTCATCATCTTCGTTTGGAATTCCAGTCGGAATATATTGGACAAACCTCATGTATGCAGCGTTAAGGTCGACATAGTATATCTTTTTGTTTGAGTCGAACTTGTCGCAACCAATTGGTCCAGTTTGTGGAAATTCAAGTGAGTCTCTTATCTTCTGAGAAACTTCTCCTGTTATCTCATAAACATCGTCGAAGCAACCTGTTTCATATAAAACCTTCTGACCTAACTCAGATGCTCTCCAATACAATTTGACGTCAATTGGATGTCTCAATGGAAGTTTGTTTATAGCATCTTGAAGTTCTTGCAACCTCATTGGAAGTTCTTCTGGTTCAGGTTGGTATCCGAACATACAACCCCTTGTGGAACTGTGTACTTCTTTTGTACTAGAACTTTGTCTGGAACAACTTTTGGTCTTGCTAACAATGAAAAGTTTGTTTCGTCGTCTTTTGGTACAAAAGTTTCTGTCAGCTTGTCATCTGGAATTGGTTCCAACAAACCTTTCTCGAAAAGAATGTTTACAGCTCTGACAATGTTGCACTTGCCTTTTCCGAACAATGGGTTTGTAAGACTTTCGTTCAACATGAAGTGGTTGTGGACAATTACAATCTTCAACCATGGTAAGTCTTTGTCAACAACATAGTCGTCATGTGAAGAACCTTTAGCTGTAGGTATGTTGACTCGGATATTGACATTTGCCAACGGTGCAATTTTTGCCAATTGACCTCTGAGAATGTACCTTGTCTTCACACATGACTCAAGATACTTCATCTTCTCATCTGAAACAAGACCAGAGTTCCTGAGACATGTAAGAATGCAAGGTTCATTGACAATTGTTTCAATTGAATTGTAAATTCCATACCTTGTCAAGTCAATGTCAGACTTATTTATGAACGGGAAGTATCCAGCATGTTGTCTGACTGCTTGAGGGTTAGGTTGGTACCATTCGAACTTGACACTTGCAATTCCTTCAATT